AAAATACACGAAACTGCTTTGTTACGTTGCTCAGCAGAACAGTATCAAACTTAGCTGTAAACCACCCTGAAACAATTGCCACATTTTTTGGTGGATAAATAGGCTATATTTAGCCATGTGTGTGAAATAAGACAAAAGGAATTGTAATTATTTCTGTTCTGCCTGCTGGATGCACTTAAAAAACTCAACATCCACTCTGTGCTTGTGGATTAACTGCAGTGGCATCTTAATATGTGTTAGGGAAACTCCATTATATTGTATGTTGTTTAGGTATTTACGTCTGCTGTGCTAATAGATGAGTATGGTAGCATGTAACATCCACACAGCACAAGGTACAAAGGAGCAGGTGCTTTTAAGTGTTATTTCTCATCAGTTCTAGGCATTGTTTTCTTTTGCTTGTAAAGTTGTGATAATAAAATTTCAAGCCAGTTTTGATCTCATTCCACCCCTGTGCCAAGCACATGCAGGAAAAATTGCTGTCCGGTTTTGTACTAAGGAGACGCTTCCAGAAACCTGAACTTCAGTGATGGTGGTAATGATTGTACTGCCTGGCGTTCTCAATTGTCAGCTGAAGTACTTAGATGCTAATTTATGCACACCTGTAAGAAGGGTTTATTGTAAGCTTATAACTTACATTTTTTATGTCAGGCATGCTTTAAAGGTGAAAGTAGGAGGGGAAGAGGAAATGGCAGGGGTTGAACCAAGGAATGGGGCAAACCTATACAGATAATAGAAATTTTCCCCTTCATCTGATCTCTATTGACTGTTCACTAGGCCTTGGTGATTCATAGACCGCCACACACATTGGTGCTTCTGACAGTGCTTTTTTTTGGTCATATTGTGTACATTAATGCTGGCTGGAAAACTCTGATCTAGCTCTGTATCTCCCTTTCTTGACTTAAGCTACTAATTTTTAAATTTAAGTCATAGCCTTTAGCTAATAGTTTAAATTGGCCTGTCGCTGCTTAGCTAAAAAAAAATACTCTAAATCCTGCACTATCGACTAATTGGGAAGGATGATCTTAATTCAGGTTAGGAATCATCTCTTAAAGACATTTCAAAGAAATTTTTTTAGTAATAACAGCATATAACACACAGAAGAAGACAAGGCACATAAGGCCTTGGGTAGTGTGAGGTGGATTTGAGACTCTGTGCAAGGTGAGCAGCTATGTGAGCTGGAAGGTTAGCTGCTAAGATTAAGATTGTGTCGAACTTCTATTGTATGTACGTCTCAGACTCAGAGGGCTTGTATTCTGCAGACATCCAATGATTACACAGTGTAAGCATCTTTTCAGGTTTATTTGGGGCAGATTTACCTGAACTCTGCGTACTACAGAGCTGCTGGAGAGATCTGGAGAACGCAGAATCCAAGTCTGGGGAAGAGAGAACTTGGTATTCTGAAATGGAGAACGGTGTGATACGCTTTTACATTTACATTTATATGTACTGGCAGAATGTAGTGATCTTTTTTCCGCTCTTTTACTTCCCGATTCCATAATGGCAATCTGTTATCTTTTTGTCTCTAGCTGTGTTTAGAAGGTCTTTCGTTTTGCAGATATACACGTGGGTTTAGAATGTTTGTTCTGAAATATTAAAGGATGCCTCATCAAGAAACTGAGTTGTTTTAATTGTAACAAGTGAATGGCATATGTATTCTGAACTAGTCATGGAAGACAAATCTTGATTATTTTTCCCTATAATACATTAATAACTGGATTTTTCCGATCAGTGATCAATGGGAAATGAAGCTAGATTGCTCGAAAGGCATGCTGAGCTCCAACCAAGTGCAGACTTCTCTGTCTTGAAGAATGTTTCATTTGTGTTCAACTGTGAAAAAACTGATGTCAAAGCATGTTTTGAGCAACTGTTGATGTGGAGTTGAGACTATCATTTTGAATACAGCGTTTTAGATTAGCTAGTCTGTGTTCTGAATGTAGAGATGCAGTGTCGTGTGTCACGCCCCCTGCAACATTTCCTGGAAAATGTGAAAATTCAGCTAGTTTCCTGCATTTTAGTTGGTCTTTGAGAGGAAAGAAAAGTCACATCAGAGCTAGAAAAATCTGTTCCAAATCTGTTCTGTGCCTGGAAACTGAGACAGAATGATCAGAGAAGCCTGTTAGCACTTTCTACATTTTTTTCCTCCTTCCCCTCCAATCACATCTCACTCTACTACTATAAATCTTCAAATTACTCCAAAGGAAGAGAGTTTCTGGGGGTTTTGTATGTATTTATGGCCTCCTACCCCAATTAGTTCTGTCACAGGAGTGGAACAGTGGTCATTAACCCAGAAGATGCTCCAACCCTAAAATGAGATAAGTTGGCACCTTCAATTTATGTGCATTTTTGTAAGTATTTCCAGAGGGGAAAAAAAATTCTCATTTGCTGATAAAGCTACTGGTTTTAATTTAAAAAGAGGGATCAAACCAAGAATAACGGCTGTGATTCTGGAGGTTTCAGGCTGTCAGGGGTTTCTGAGAAGTAATTGCCAGAATACTGGGAAAACTGGCTATAAGTCATCTATCTGTTTAGAAAATGTAAATTGCCAACTCAGTGTAACTACAGAAAAGAAATATCAGTCCATATTCATTACATGTTATTACTCGTGGTACATCTGAAAGCTTTCTAAAGACCTAAGAGAATTCAAGTAGTGCCTCCTAACTTACAATTTAGTAGAATTTGTGTGTAGAAAATAACTTACAATACACGGGAGCATTCATGTGTATTTGCAATTGGAATGTGCGGTGGTGCATATCAACAGCCTCTAAGGAGCAGAAAATGTGAATTTAGCCTGATGGTTCTGAGAGTATTAAATGGCATTAGCTGGAGGGGAGTTGAAAACAAGAGTATCAGCCCCTAAAAGAGAAAAGAGCAAGGGTGGGACATGAGTCACGTTCAGAGCTCTGCTCATTTTCAGAGGTGGAGAATGTAACTGACATTGTCACACCTTAAATAAGAGATTCTTTGATGTACCTTGAAGGAGCAAAATGGCTGAAGATTTTCCATTTGTTCTATAGATAACAATCCACAAAAACATTTCCCTCCTTTCTCTTCCTTTTGACTTTGCCCTATGAACCTGGCTTCTTTGGTGGGAAAATAATTGATAGTTTATACTTTATGCAGTCAAAACTCTTAAAAGATTCCAACAGAAACATTTTCTCCTTTGGAAATACGAGATTGAGGCTACTTGCTGAACAGGACCAAAAATACAAACAGTAATGGATATATGAACTTTTAAATCTTAAAACTCCCTTTGTGAAGTATACATAAGCATAACTCATACTGATGTATCTCTAAAAGGGTAAGGCGAGACAGTCTGTTTCTACTGCAGATTCAGATACTGAATATGTATAAGTGAATGCGTGTAAGTTTTACTTAAATTCAAATGTTCTTTTAAAATATGTGTGGTTTTTTAAAATTACATTTGAAATTGTTCATCTATGCTAAGGACTGAATTTACTGTAGTATGCTATAGACATTTGAATACAAATAATTCTAGCAATGTCTGTTTTCTAATGAAGCTTTAAAAGCATTCAAACCACCAGAGAACTGCTGTTAACTGGAGCCAGAATTTGTTTAAACCATGTTTTGACAGAAGCAATTGTTCAGGGAGAGTATTTTTCTCTGTTTTATTTTATTCTGCTGTTCAGCTCTACAGGTAGCTTTTTTGGTTTGTCTGAAAGACAAAAATAGTTGAAAAAATATTCTGATAAAGTTCTCTCTGTTTTTGTGTGTGTGCGTAGAAATTTTTGTTAGTTAATTTCATGAATAATGAGGCAATGGGCTTATTTATGGATTTTAAATTCTGTTCTCCATAAAAATTCCACAAAAAATGTCACAAGCTGTAAGTATTAAATAATCTAATAAAGCAATCATTTACATTATTTTTAGCTATTAAAGTAAATGGGCAAAATCCACCCATATCTAGCAGAATGAAAAGTAAATCTGAAGGTCCAAGACTTTCAGCATATATATTTGTTTAGATAACTATAGATAGATGAATCTTTTTGAGGGAAGAAAATGTTTAATATAAAAGCTAATTCAATATAAATCAATGCATTTTAATGGTTAACGGAATCAACTTTAGGGAAATAACTGAAAAGCACAAACGGAAAAGATTAAAATTGATTATTTGAATAATGACTGAAATCTGCAATTTGCATCATTGTGATGAAAATCAATTCATCCTGAATGAAGCTGGGAATAAAGCTCTTCCCTTCTGACAGGAACAGCAGCATTGTTCAGCAATATCCTGCACATTTGTCAAGTTGTAGCTTGTTCAGGTCTCAAGAACAGAAGCACAAAGCTGGCCTCCCAGTTGCTTTTAATGAATACTAGTGGGTTTTTCCTATGTCCAAGAATTTGATCTGTAGGGTGATCCAGAGGTCAAGAACAAACGGCTCACTATCGCTCACCTCTGCGAAGCCAAGGCTTTCATTTGCTTTTTTTAGTAACTCTAGAGGAAGTGCCTTAACTCTTTTTCAGAAGCAAAATTTTAATTGGCGTAGATAATGCCACTTTAAGAAAGTATAGACAGGTTGAGCCATCTCCTTTAAAAATAATGTTTTGTGCAAATTTTTTCTTTTTAGCCCAGTGTAAATTTTGAGGGTTTCATCAAATGGTTTTCATCAGTTTGAAATTATTTCTATAACTCTGTTTCTTCCCCTGCTTCATTTGCAATCATATTTTAATGCAAGTAGCTCTAAGTTAGTACCTCTCCCTTGTTCTCATCAGTGTTCTCAGACTTTGTGTTTATCCTGTCAGAAAAGCGTCAGATGTTGTTTTTTTTTTCTTTTCAATTATAAGTTTTGTAATGCATCATGGATTTTGCTGACAGTCTTGAAGTTCTTGAAATAGCAAGCAAATTAACAGCAGATACTGAGTGTGAGGACTGGAAAACCAATTGGCAACTCACATGA